CCTGGGGAAATTTTTAGCCAGAAGAAGGAAGATTTCTCAGGCATTTATAGCACAAGTATTTCAAAACATGGGTGGCTATATTTATTCTTGGTTTTTATTTAATAAACACTTAAGCATTGCTATTGCTGCCTGTAAGGAATTTTCAGTATCACTGCAAAAAAAAGAAATACTCCTTTCTTCAAATGCATGGCCTTTCTGCTCGAATAAAAATGCCGGAGAAAGTTTTCAAAACACTGCAAAATATGTTGCAGCCTTCAGGATTGCCTCTTCAAATCTTTTCTCTGCTGCTCAAAAACATTAAAAATCTAGCACAAGTAAAGAAGCCAGTGAATCTGCCCCAGGCCAACATTAAGGGAGACTATAAAAAGTGCTCCTATTTAAGTTTTCATCCTTCTTAGCCAGACACTAGACTATTCCCTGACACAAAGTCTGAGTGGGTACCTCTGTGTTGAGGTGGCAGATATGGGATGAAGAACAAAGCTTGCTTGGTCCCAACTCCATGACTCATACGATCATCGTAACATCTGGCTGAAATATCATAGTAACTGGTTAGCAGATAGAAACCCTCTACCATTGTCTAGTATAATCTCTCAGGCTGGTTTTCTATTAGTCAGGAAGGTATTTCTTTTTTTTTTAATAATTTTTTATTGAGATTAAGTGATTACATGAATTTCACAAATTTCACAGTATTATGGGATAGTGATACTTAAAGTCCCAGACACATTTTAACCAGGAAGGTATTTCTTTGAGAACATTTCTTATACTGTCTCCAAATGATCTCCACAATAGCATTAGTCTCGTTGCATGGCAGGAAAGAGGAACAATTGACAGGTACTTACCTACCAAGATGAAGTGACAGAATTTAAACAAGGACTGCCCAGTCAGATTCTGATCTCCGACATATAAATGTAGGAGAGCTACAAACATTCACACTACAGACTACACTAACTGTAGTTTTGACTAAGAGCCCAGGAAAGCTCTCTCTACACTCTGAGATGTTGACAAGCAGCCCAACGTTACATGCCAACAAGCTCTGAAGGCTTTTCTTTCCATCCCAGCTACAACCTAATAAGAGAGTGTCCAGACACAAGGGCACATTGGCTCATGTCTGCAATCCTAGCTACTCAGGAAGTAGTGATCAGGAGGATTATGTTTTAAGGCCAGCTCTGATTTTTTTTTTAAGCAAGAGCTCATCACAAAAGAAAAAACACTACATGGTGACATGGACCTGTCAATCATCCCTAGAACTATGGTGGGAAGTAGAAATAGGAGGATATGGCCCAGACAAAAAGAAGGACTCTATTTAGAAGTAATCAGAGCACACTATGTTGAAAATGAACAACTGATGAGGATGGGGGATCAGGAGGGAAAAATATGGGAGAAAATGAGGGAAGAGGTGACCCTATTCAAAAGCAATGCACTCACTACCTGACCTCTGGAACTGTAACCCTTCTGTACATCACCTTTACAATAATAAATTTAAAAAATAATAACGAGTAAAAAGTGGTTCAAGTGAGGTGTAGTAGTTCAAGTGGTAGAATACCTGCTTAGCAAGTGGGAAACCCTGAATTCTAAAGCCAGAAAGAAATAGGGATCTCCTACACAGGTTGAGCACAGCCCTGCATCTTTGAAGGTAGATTCTTGGCCTAAGGGGACGTGAAGCTTCACCAACAAGGAGTAATGGGCTAGAAGTCAGGAGGATTCAGTTCTATTTTTTTTTTTCCGGTCAGTCATGGGGCCTGAACTCTGGGCCTGGGCACAGTCCCTCAGCTCTTCAGCTAGCTGAAGAGTGGTAGGCTAGCGCTCTACCACTTGAGCCACAGCTCCACTTTTGATTTTTTTCTGTTTATGTGGTGCTGAGGAATTGAACCCAGAGCCTCATGCACTCAAGGCAAGAGCTCTACAACTGAGCCAACTTTCCAGCCCTCAGTTCTACTTTTAATTCTGTCCCCACATAGTCATTTCATGGGGCTGAGCAACTGATACAACTGAGGCTCAGTTTCTTCTTCTGGAAGTCTGGAGGGAAAGAACCAAACACACACTGAATGTTGTTCATGCATAAATATGAAACTCTGATGAGGATCGTGTTCGCCTGCTATTACAGATGAGGACATGTTCTGAGGAATCTTGCAAAAAAGACCACACTCTGGAAGATGTAGGAACAGAATTCCTAGTACAGAGCTGTAACCAGGGATGGGCTTTCCCCTCCTCATACCACATGGACCAAGGAGTCCAAGAATTCTAGATTTGAAGCTAACTTTCCAGGGCATTATGAAGGCATTTTGTCAAGGTAAACCAACTACAATGAATAAGTAATTAATATGAATGATGTAAAAAAAAATTTGTTTGGCTGGTCATGGGGCTTGGACTCTGGGCCTGGGCGTTGTCCCTGAGCACTTCAGCTCAAGGCGAGTGTTCTGCCACTTGAGCCACAGTATCACTTCTGGTTTTCTGGTGGTTTACTGGAGATAAGAGTTTCTCAGACTTTTCTGCCTGGGCTGGCTTTGAATCGCGATCCTCAGATCTCAGCCTCCTGAGTAGCCAGGATTACAGTCATAAGCTACCCGTGCCTGGCTGAGTGATGTAAAATTTAAAATTACATGTAAGAAATTGGACCTTGAGTCCCTCAGACTTGAGTCCCTCGGGACTAGCTCTGGATGCTCAAATTATAGCTATTACAAGTACCTAATGCCCATCTATACCTTATACTTTTGCAGGTTTTTGTAAATGTCTACAAAGCTCTTTCTTGGATACTTGTCCTTCTAAGGACACACTATAAGGCTGGAAGAAGTTATTGCCCAAGTGTAGTAGATAGGGAGCTTGTGTTCTATGCCTGGGGGGCTCATGTCACTCCTATCGCAGGTCTCAGAAGCAGTTCAGATGTGGATGTTTTTGAGAGAGCTCAGATATGGCTCCTACAACTTGTAAGTGTTTTGCCTAGAGCCATCAGCTGGTGAGCAAAGGAAACCACATTGTCTCCACTTCTGTCTCTCAACCCTGTGACTCTTATCTTTTACTTCCAGTTGTGCATGCAAGGTTAAGAAATGTCCATTTCTACCTTTTTTTTTCAGTGTGCCAGATAAAGAGTAAGTTTTAAAAAATACTTTGAGACTCTTATCTCCAGTTAACCACCAAAAAGGTGGACATGGAGCTGTGGCTCAAGTGGTACAGTGTCCTTGAGCAAAAGAAGCTCAGGGACATTGAGTGCCCAGGCCCTGAGTTCAAGCCCTAGACAGACAGACAGACAGACAGACAGACAGACATACAGACACACACACACACACACACACACACACACACACACAATTTTAAATAGTATGTTTTGTTCTGCTCATGTTGTCTAATTTACTTGTAGGCGCAAATTACAAATGTTAAGTTTTACTCCAAGACTTTCACATGAAAAAGCTGAAGTTGTAGAACTTTCAGTGTTGCACATTTAACTCATATTTGAAACAGAATGGGAATCCTTTCTATTCTAGGCATATTCCTGGTTTTGCCAACCAAATCTGTTCAAGGACAGATTTGGGATTACTTTCATGGCAGAGTATTGATTTGCGACTTCTCAGTATCCTTCCCTTCTTTCCATATGTATTCCCTCCCTCCTTTCTTCTCTCCCTTCCTCTCTTCCACTCTTTCTTCTTTTCTTCCAAAAGGACCTAGAATCTGTTTGCCTGCTTTCTACACTCTATGCTACAATTTCCTTTGAAATCCAACTGTCTTGAAGACTCAGTCCATATACTTCCTGTCTGAATGACCCACCAGTTGTTTCAGAACTTACAATATGACCACTGATTATCTAATCTGTGATTATCTAATCTGTGAGCCACTGTGATTGGCTCAGAAAATGGAAAGAAATCTATGTCTGGCCAATCAAAACACACATCAAGATTTCACTGCATGTAGGGAGAAATCCACTCTCTTCCCAATAGAGAGCTCTGCTAGAAGACTTGAAGACTGGAGTGCCTGGCTACCTAATGGAAAAACTTGCCTAGAAATGAATCAACAAGACAGAGAGGTAGATGTCTGTCTCAGTCTGTCTCAGACTGATGAAGTGACAGATCTAGTGTCCCCTGAATTTAGATTTTCCACTGGTCTTTTACAGTCACTGTCTCCATTTTCTCCTTTCAAGCTTCTGCCACTGAAACAAGCTCTGAAGAAACCTTTTCCCAACCAAGGAACAGGCTAGCAGGTGAAGAAACAGAAGCAGGGCTACTCAAATCTTAGATATTTTTGTCCCAACTTCACAGAGCTTTGGGAATAAGGTTCTAAACAGGCTCTTTGTAAATCCATAAAAGCAAGCTTCGGGCGAGCCCCGTGACCTCTAACCTGGAGTCCGCCAGCTCCACACCCATGTTCAGCCTCACTCAGCAGCAGCCACTTCAGTCAAACCAAGCAGGAACCAGAGTTCAGAGGAGAAAAAAGGCTTAGATGGGAAATTCTTTTGGTTCACTTTTTTCTTTTCCTTCCTTCCCTTTTTTTGACAAAATAATAAAATTACCCAGCAGCATTGAAAAATCAATGTGTTTCCATCTGTAAATTCAATATGAACTTCTAATATCCTTCTAACAAGCTGAATAACAAGAATTAGAGATTGAGGCAAGGCAGAAAGCAAACCAAGACACTTGGCCCAAGATAATATGAATGCAGAGGACATGATGCATTGTATTTTTTTTTTTTAAAGATTCCGCTCCTCCTGAGCAAAGTCATCAAATATTTACTTCAGATGCAATGTTTTAAAGCCAGAAGAGCTTGAAACACAGTCAGGATTGATGGCAATGGCGCCTCAGGAGTTTTCAGAACTCAGAACAGTATCTGGCTATGGGAAATGGGGAGGGGGAGGGAAGGATGACAGGTTTACCAGATACAGGGATAAAGGCTGACCTGAGTATAGAAAAGGCCTGAAGCCTCTGTACCTTCTTTCACATGCATGAGGTCAAGACCTCTAGTCTTATGCACTCTGCATAGCTAAGAATGTCTGTAGTCTCGACACAAAAACTTACCTGATGAATTCCACAGAGTAATACTGCATAGAGGAGCTGCCTTCACTCTCTCCAGGTTTCCAAGACAGAGCCACCTCAGAATCAGAGACCACCAGGACATGAGGTTGTTGGGGTGCTGCAGGGGGCTGGCAGGAATCTAGGTATGACAATAAAACAGCTAACCATGGCAAGTGGTCATAGACGTTGGAGAGGTTGAATACATTTTTTTAAAGTGTATTTCCCATAACCAAGCAAAACATCTTCGAACACACACACACACACACACACACACACACACACACACACACACACACACCACACACACCACACACATACAATCACAGCTGCATTTCCACATAAGGCTCTCAACAACGGCAGCTTGTTCCTCCCTTCTGCTGTAGACACCTCTGGCTAGAAGGCCAAATGCTTAGGCTTCGTTTATCCCCAGGGCAGTTGCTGTGTGCAACTTAGAACCTTCCATCCATATTCCCCGCTACCAATCAGTCTTTCTTTTGTCTCTGTTTGCGTCTTGGAACTGACATTTACCACCAAGCACAATGAAATGCTTATCATCATCATTGACACTTGCTTTCTAGCTCCGGTGTGCTGTTTCTGTGAAGATCAGAACCCTCTACTAGCCAATGCTATACTATCTTTAGGTCCAGACTTTTCATAACTTCCAGGTTTTTTTTTCTCAGACTACTGCTCGGTCCTGGAAGAATTTTCTACCTTCCTAAGGATTTTCTGTAATTTGGTTTGAGGACCTGCTGGGGTTATTTGCTAGTAATTCCTTCTCCCTATACAAAGAGGACCTTGTGCAAGCAATGACTGTAGTCCACCGACCTCAGCAACTCAGAGATCACCCTAGCGCCGCCTTGATAAGCACCTGTTATCTTCCTTTGCCATGGCTAATTCTTCTTCTCACATTTCCTTTCCTACTCACCTATCCAATCTGTCCTGTGGGTGCACTTCTCACAATTAGTGATGGACTACATTCTAATCATCCCTCACCCCATTAAGTTCTGAGAGGCTCTTGATCATTCCGGTCTTTTCAGGGTCTAGCACAGTACCTGGTACCTGGTACTTCCTGGTTGACATTTGCTGAATGAAAGATGCATGACTAACAGCCAGCCATGTTCATATTATTAATGAATTGGAACCTATTTTACCTTGGGACAAAGTGGAAACATGCCGAGGAGAGCTAAGCCGCCCTTTGCCAGTCTGGCTGTAAGCTGCTATGCTCACTTGATATTCAGTGCCTGGCTTCAAATCTCCAATCACTTCTTCCTGTCAATAATCAAACAAGAAAGGTGCTGATGGTCAGAAGTTCTGTGTAAGCAAACAGGTTTACATCTTGAACCCCCTAGGAAATTGCTTGGGACAGAGATTGTTTTGCTGTGTTTAGGATTTGCCCAGCTTTAAAATGTGCTACAAGGGAACCACAATGACATTATTTCCTAAGCCTGGAAGGTACCTCTTTATTGAGATCTACAAACCAGCCTAGAACTGGACTCGTTCCCACTCTCAAAGGCTGATCTCAACATCCTAATTCTTTGACCAGAGTACAAAGCTGCTAGGAGGGAGGGGAATAATCGCTGAAGGCTAGAACTCAAGTTCTTTCTTTCAATTTGTAGACTGTAGTACTCCAGGGACCAGCCAACCACACAGCAAACAGAGGTCTACATTTATATCCATAAAGTAAAGGGTTCTCAAACCTAAAATAGCACCAGAATCCATGAGGAAAGCTTTAAAACAATTGGCTGGGTTTAACTCACAGAGTATCTCATTTATTAATCTTGGGAAGAGCCTGAAGAATTTCCATTCTGTTAGTCTTGTTGCTGGGCCAAGGACTCTCTCCCATTGAGAACCATTAGGATTAATGATGGATGAATATGTGAACTTCCCCTTAGCAGAAAGCCCCAGCAGAAAAGGATTTGCTCCACCTTGGGCATCTACAAAAATAGTGGGTCTCTGAGGCTATGGTGCTACATGGTAGGAGAGAAGCTGTAGGGAGCTCCGGTAGTAAGGGACCAGACTTGGAGTCAGTTCACCCTGGGCTTGAATCCTGAATCTGCTACTTATTGCAAATCAACTTCCTCAGCAGAACAGATGTGCCATGGGACCACCTTGCATGGCATGAATGTTTAGGATAATATGTGGACTGCAACTACCATGGAGGATGTGCTGTGGAAATAGTCTATAATGACTGCTGATTTGGTCATGTGAATACCCTCCTCCTCCTCCTCCTCCTCCTCCTTCTCCTCCTCCTCCCCTTCCTCCTCCTCCTCTTCCTCCTCTTTGCTCATAAGGGTTCTTGAAGACCCATTCCCTCCCCTGGACATTGTTCCTGACCATCCAGTCTTGTGATCCCACACTACTAAATCTTGTGCCACTAATCTAACACTTACGTATACAAGTTGAATAATATAAGTTGAATGCTCCTAATCCCCAAATCCAAATTCCCAAATACTGAATACTGAAATAACACTCATGAATAGAATACCATACAGCTGATTGCATGTGTAAGTAGTACTTGAAACAGAGGTACCCTGAAAATATTTCAAAAAATTACATTCAAGGTATACACAAAACATAACTGAATTTCATATTTAGACTGGGTCTCATCCCCAAGCTATCTCATTATGTATATGTAAATATGCCAAAATGCAAAAAAGCTCAGAAAACATTATAGATAAGGGACACTCAAATTGTAGCACATATTTGTTGCTAATTCTCCTATGATACGGTAAGCCACCTAAGACCAGAGATCAACCATATCTTCCATTTTTTTCACAAAAATTTCTATAGATGATAAAGCATTTACTATTGCTGAAGAAAAATAAGGAGATTCATAAACCTGTTTTGAAGTTGGATATGGTGGCTCTTTCCTGTAACCCTAGCTACTTGGGAGGCTGAGATTGAAAGGATGTAGTTTGTCATGAGCCTGAGAAAAATGTGTATGAGGCCCCATATTAACCAATAAAGAGTTGGGAGTAGTGGCATGATCACATCCTGATCACATAGGAAGTAAAATAAGAGGATTGCAGTCTAGCTTGGCTATGGGAAAGACAATATTTTATTCAAAAAGGGTTGATGGTGGTGTGGTCCAAGAGGTAGGGTATCTGCCTTGTAAGCACAAAGTCCTGAGTCAAACCCCAGTACCAACAACAACAACTACAAAATCATTTAGAAAGCATTCAACAAATAATTATCAAACCTTAATACAGTACTTCCTAAACCCTGATTTCATATTACAATACTTTAGAGATCTAAAAGAAACAAACACTGGTACCTAGGCTTCACTCTACACTATATCTTTTCTTTGTTGTGAATTTCCAGCCTCTCTCCTTTCTTGCTGATCCTTCTGTATTTACTGTGCTCCAATATCTCCCACCAGAAAAAAAACAACTATCATTCCTCTGCCACATATGAACCCCCAACTTCTTTCCTCAGAGGCCCCTCTCTAAAGATGTGGCCGCCACCCCCTTACCTCCTCGTCACTTCTCAACTTACTTTCCTTTGCTTCTCTCTACAACTGTACACGCTGTTCTTACTGAAGTCCCCATGATTTTGTAGTCAACCCAATGACTCAGTCACTATGGATTTTTATAACTTTCAAGATTGCTGCTCTCCCTTGCTTCTGAAATCACTTTATTTTCTTGGAAACCATGCTCAACTTCTCAGTTACCTCCTTTTCTCGTTTCTGTTCTTCAAATCTCCAACCAATTCCCCTTTTTCTGACAGCCTATGAGGGTCTCCCAAGAGCTACCCCTCCGCTTGCCATCATCTTTTACTCTGTAGATTCCCATGGGAAATTTCTCCTCCTCCTAGATTCTCATGGGAAATTTCTCCTCCTCCACCCTTAGCTTCTTGCATACCTTTCTGATGACACCTCATGTGCCCAGCCAGCCAGCGATGGCCTGCCTCATTTCCAGGTGGACGTTTCTGACTGCTTCTTGAACAACTCTACTCAACACTATCAAGCAACTTAAGTTTAATATAATCAACTAATCATTTCTTCATCTACTAGCAAAAGGAAAAGCAAATACGGCTCCCTCTCATTACTCAAGCTAGAAATCTGTCACACTTCCCTCTGTATTCATCCTCTTCCGTCACCACCTTCCAATCAGCCAGCCACCAATATAGCTGATGACACGTCTTTCATTCCTCTTGAACCTATTTGTTTCTTTTCAGCTTTTCCACCCTTTATATCTAAATCCTTACAGTAAAGATAATGTACTTTGTGGGGTTTTTGGTTATTGTTTTTTAAAGGATGGAGTTCTTTTTTTTTTTTTTTTTTGCTGGTTCTGGGGCTTGAACTCAGGGCCTGGACACTATCTCTGAGCTTCTTTTTTTTTTTTTTAATTTATTTTTTATTGTGAAAATACCGTACATAGGGGTTACAATTAGATGGGCAAGATAATGAGTACATTTCTTATCAAGCATTGTAGCCTCCTCCTTTGTTTCCCCTTCCCAGCCTCCCCCCCCAATCCTCCCCCCCCCCCCCCCCGCCAAAGTTGTAAAGTTCGTTTTCGACATGACAACTTGTACTTCTCATTGTTGCAACGAGTCCACCTGTATCCTTATTTAAACGACTTGGTTTTCCCCTTCCCCTCCACAAATTATATCGACATCAAATACAGTGAAAGCAGGGTTATACTGTGGGGGAGGGAAATACAAAGCAACAAAGAAATAATCTTATAAATGTGTTAGAAACAAATGCATGAAAGAAAAAAACATTTAAATACATATCTTAGGGTTCATTTTCCTAACATCACCTTATCTGACCTTTTCTGTTGATTCATACATATACTAGATATTGCAAATAAGGGAAACCATGGGACCTATATTTCTTTGGGCTTGGCTTACTTCACTTAATATAATTTTTTCCAAGTCTTTCCATTTCCTAACAAATGGGGTAATGTCATTCTTTCTGATGGAGGCATAGAATTCCATTGTGTATATATACCACATTTTCTTGATCCATTTATCTACTTCTCTGAGCTTCTTTTGCTCAAGGATAACACTCTACCATTGGGAGCCACAGCGCCACTTCTGGCTTTTTTGTGGTACTGTGGAATTGAGCCCAGGGCTTCATGCATGCTAGGTAAACACTCTACCACTAAGCCACATTCCCAAACCCAGACAATGTACTTTGAATCTGCCTGGCACCAATACTGTCTACACTTTCAATTTAGACTCCATAAGGCTATGCTAAAGTTATATCCTTAAATCTTAAATCTGATGTTATCACTTTCCACCTTAAATCCCCCCTTCAGACAACATATTTATCCTTCTAGCATCACCCCATGCACCTCCCTTCCCAGCATTCTACATTCCAGTCATACCTAAGAACTTGGCAGGACTCAAATTTATGCCATTCAATTCCTTGCCTCTGGGCCTTTGAACCTGCTGCTCTCTCCACATGAAATGCCCTTCTCCCTACTCCTGCCTGGCTCACCCTGCTCATCCTTCATGACTCAGTTCAGCTGAGACATTACCTCATTTCTCTACCCGGGCCCCCAGTCTGGTTAGGTGTCCCTCCTCTATGCTTCCTCCATGTCCTTGATGGACCTTAATCTGATCACTCCTCACTTTATAGTGTAATTGCCTGTTTATTTGCCACCTTCTCCCACCTGCTTGATGGCAGGAAACAAGTTCTTATTCCTCCAGCATCCCAAAGCTGAGCACAGTATTATCAGACATAGAGTAAACATTCGTGCAATGCTCTTGATGAATGAACAAATGAGCTGAAGTGAAATGAAAGAAAGAAATCAAGAGCCAAGATATCCATATAAGAGGATTACCTCATCAAGAAGTGAGCCTCAACTACTGACCTCTTCATGTTGATCAATAGTGTTAGTGCTTGCTATGGTTTGAATGTGTCCCTCAGAGTTCATGTACTGAGGATAAATGTCCAGTGCATCAGTGTTGGGAGATGATGATTCAGGCCTGAGGGGCTGCTGTTGTTATTGCAGAGGTGAGGGATTGTACGAGGGTGCTCGTTATGAAGATGGGAGAGGTGTGATAAAGTCAGTGTGGCCCCTCTTGCTCTTGTGGTTCTCTTGCTCTCTTGTGCTGCCTGGCCCTTCTGCCTTCCGCTATGAGATGATGCAGCCTGAGATGCTCACTAGATGCTGAGCAGCCACACCCTTGGACTTCCAGCCTTGGGAACCATCAATTCATTTTCCCTAGAAACGGCCCATTGCATGGTGTTTTGTTACAGCAGTATGAAAAAAGACCAAGACAGAGAGCTTGGTTTTGACCCTCAAGTCAGTAGCTTCAAAGATGATAGAAGGTGTGACACTGTGGAAGATGCATTGTACACACAAATTAAAATGTTGAGTTAAAATCCCTTTGTGCAAATATTTAAGATATGATAGATAGATAAGACAGACAGACAGACAGACAGACAGACAGACAGACAGACAGACAGATAGATAGATAGATAGATAGATAGATAGATAGATAGATAGATAGGGCACGCTTCAAAAAATTCCACCTTGGCAGCTAGGCTATTTGGGCCAAATTTATCATTTGTTTTTTATTTTTTTAAATTTATCATTTAAATCAGAGTAACCATCAACTTAATCTCCTGTTTGAAATTCAATATGGGAAACTAAATAAGTCATTTTTGGATGGGTGGCACAATGCTGAAAAGAAAATCTGGCGTTGTTAGAGGGAATAAAGAAAGGAAAGGCTAAAAAGGATGCAGGGCTATTCCCAGAGTGCTGCCCACCAGTTTAAATATTTTCCCTCTTCTTCAATCAGTTTCACTGATTCTTAGAACAGACAAAATTGCTTCAACCTTTAAAGATGTTTCTCTTAACCTTACTCTGCTGTGTGAGATGAAGCAACATGTACATAGAGAAAAGCATCTCCTTTTCAATGACAAAAAAAAAAATCTGTCTGCTTATACTAAAACCAAGTACTCTCCATTGGGCCTTTCTTGGGATGAAGAGATGGGGAAATCAACATTTTGGTGACAAGAGACCACCACCCACTCCTAGATTGGGGCAAGGTGTTAAGTTTCCTAAAACATACTTACAAAAACTACCCAATGTTCAGATAGTCCCTGGAGAGGAGAAACAAAAACAAAAACAGAAGGGACATAAAGAGTAAAAGAAAACTTGCCGGAGTAAAACAGAAACTTGGGCAGTTGACCTGCCCCCTCCTCTAGCTACAGCCAAAATGGTATGCAAACCACAGATCACTGCAATATGAATTTTATTGTCTATTTACTCAGCTCTTGTTCTAGGTCAGGTGTCATGCTGGGGGCTCTACAGCATTACCTCATTTCAAACACAACATCTGTATGCTATAGGATGGTAAGATACAGCACACAACTTCCTAAACTTTTCACTCATGGCACAGTTAGCTTTGCTGAGACATTTTTACAGCATGCTCAGACCACAAGAAGTGCTGATTAAGACTTATACCCAACTTAGGAGTAGTGTTTTACACAGATGCTTCTATTTTCAGAGTGCCCCTGGAGGCTTCCTGCAAAATCCACAGCATTCTGTTACATAGTTTGGGACCCACTGAGACACTATCTAGAGCAGTGATAATATCAGGATCTCTATTTTGGTGACAGGAAACAGAGACACAGAAATATTGACCAGCAAGTTTGCTAAAAGTCAGGAATCTGAACTCATGTAGTTTGACCCCAGAACCTTTGTATGTTAGCTCCAACCACTTACTGACCCACTTTCTAGCCTGTATATTCTGCAACTCTCCCTCATGACCATCCAAACACAAATGCCCAATCCACATGCATGTGGACAAACATGCACCTCATCCCTAGGGTTCAAACCATTCTCCCATCGGGATGCCCTCCTTCAAATCTGGCTTTCTAGAAAGTTCCTTGCTTCAATTTCTAGTCTCAACGTTTTACCTCTTTTTTGTTCCTATACTCATCTCTTTTCCATAGCTGTATAAGTATGTGTGTATTAGATGCCATGTTAATTATATCTGGTCTCATGTTATTCTTTAATTATTTTTTATCAGTGTAAAGATAGTTTTCTGACAGGTCTAAATGCTGTCTCTGAATAGAGATTGTTTGTTATCTTGTGATGGACCTAAAAAGGCCACCCTTGCAGTTTTTGTCATTAGCAAGATGATCAAGTTGGCAATTTACTCTAATGTCTGCCTGTAAGTAACAGGATATTTAACATAAAAGTTATCATGAGTGATAATGGATACTTTGAGATGTTATCACGTATATACACATATATAATATATATGTGTATAAATTTAAATATATTTATATAAATATAAAAATATAATACATAATATGTATAATATATAATAAAATATGTTTACATAAACATGTTAATATAATTTATATGTTTATACATTTATATATTTATATTTATATATGGTTTGTTCTTACAGAGGTCTCATTATACCTTCCATGGGGCAAAGTTGAGGCTAAGCAGGTTGTGACTGGCCAAAGTCGCAACCTACAAACAAAAAATGCTGAACCAGGAGCCTAGGATACTGTCTCTCTCATGGCCCTCTGTTTCATGACCCAGTAACCTTCACAGAGATGCCAGTTTTCAGCCTGGGTCCCTTCCTATGGGCAGGCTCTCCATTTCAGAAGCTCTTTGCTTACTCCAAGGTGCCGTCAGCCCTGTGCTCTTAATACTTTGGTTGTGTACAAGTCAGAGTACTGATCTCTGCAGAACACAAGGCTGGACTGTCTGGAGACATTGCCAGGGACAATGTGAACCCTTTGGTGGGCTCAGTGGACTTGTGGAAAGTTCCAAGGCTGTTGAAGGGAGAGGGACTGTCAAACTTATGGTTTCCTGGATGATGCCAACTCAATCTCCCCGCTTCAGATAGAATAAACCCCAGAGCAGGGACTAAGGTCTTCCAAGGTTAATGAGGGTTGCTGAAGGACAAGTCAAGCTTTGAGATTAAAAGCACGCCATGAAAATACAAGCAGGCTGAAATGTGCAGCTATCCTTTCCTGGTCATGAGAGTTTGGGTAAAACTAGTTAGGAGAGGAGCTCAGACATGTCAGCCTTGCATTTACCCGTCACTGTCTCTTATTAATATATGATTTGGGGAGGTTTCTTCACCTCTCTGAGCCTCGGTAATCCTGTCAGTAAAATGAGGTCATAAGAGAGTCATGAAGATTAAATGGAAAAACAAGTGGAAAGCATGAGAGATGATGTCTGGCGGGAAATAGACTCTTAATAAGTAATAGCTACTTATTAGTGGTGACAAATAGGTTTCAGACTGTACTGCATTTACCAGGCACTTATTAAAAAGACTGACAAGGAATGCCACCATCATTATCAAAGTGTTGTGGGTGTTGGAGTGACTCCTTGTAGAGCCTTCTAAAGACTCCAGTCTGGAGATGATACTAACAGAATGGGGACAGAGAAGAGTGAAAGCAATGGGATCAAAAGATGCCTAAGGCAAAAAGTTCACTCAAAAAGACCTTGACAGGAAAAAAACAATAGCGGAGCATCTGACAATTAGTGCCGAGTTTGAAAAGGAAAATAAACAACTTGGGCCATGTGAATATGCATTTCAAATTACATCATTTTTTTAAAATACTGCATCCCCCAAGCAGTTGGGAAGACATAAATGTGTCATATTTATTTATGTCTTATTGGGATCTTTAAAAAAAATCAAAATTACACTTTCTAATCAAAGAAAAAGGAAAAACATATAGCCATAAGGTGGCTACTTCTGCTCAAGACTAAAAAAGGATGGCAATCCAGGACAAAAGCATTTATACAAGGATTCTCTGATCAAATGTCTTTCTTTCAGGAGAGATAGACAGCATGTTAGAGAGTACATGCATGAGGGATATTTGGGAATTGTAAAGAACCACACACACGCACACACACGCACACACACACACACACACACACACACACACACACACACACATGGATTATTACTATATATACCCACTAACTCAGAATTCATATGACCTTCCCAGAAATACCCAACTGCCAGGATCCAGGAGGTACTCACAGTGACTGTTGTGTCCTGGCTGAGAGGTGCACTCTGGGACTGCTCCCGGAGATATTTATCTGCATCAACTTCAGAGTAAAAGACCTTGAAATAAAGCAGACATCTTAATGAGAATAAAGCAAGTACTTACCTAAGACCACTCACAAGAGTGCATCACCTGGCTGTTAGATACATAGGCCATAAGCTCAAGAACATTTAGATGCCAGGAAAGAAAATGCATGCTAGACACCTAGGATGGAGAAGACAACTCAAGGCCTTTCCTTTTACCTCCTTAGGTAATTTTCTATGCTCCTATGTACGATAAGACTTGAACCCAGAAACATAGTTCTCTATTTTAAGAACAAAGGACATGAGCTGTGATCAAAGGTTCCTGTCCCTTGGTGAAATAAAGTCAGTAATGAGTAGAGGGGCTCCAGGTATTAAAGGGAATTTTGGTCCCATCTCCAAAGGGCAGCTCAGCTCCGTGGGTGTGGTACCCTTTCGGAATGTGGGCTCAGTAATTGTCAGCTCTCCTGATACAATAGAGATTTCAGAACTCCAAATATTTATCTATAAAATGTTCTGCCTTCTAAAGTTGATTTATTTCTAAAAGCACTGTTCAAAGAAAACAACTTGGTTACTGAAAGCAGCCCAATTTGTACAGCCTCTGATGTGTTTCCTGCTCATTCCTCCACTTTATCTGTCCATCTTTTCCATTCAGATCTTTCGTTGTTTGATGCTGATTGACAACCCATAACTATGACTTCCCACACTTCTGCATTATTCTCCAAATTTGTTGTATTAACTTGGATAGCAGAAACAGTATCTTCTTGTTTTATTCTTTCCTTTTCTGTAGAGAAGAAGGACTGGAAAAGATCCTAACTGGTAGATACAGAGTGCATGTTTTAGACTCTTACAAATGCCCTTAAAAACATTCCCTATGGCTCTAACAACAGCTGAATGAGGAGTCATTAACACTGGGGTGGGTGTGGGAGACCTGATGAAGGCCACTGACAAGTTGAGCACCTCTAATCAAAAAGTCAAAATCCGAAAGCGTAAAAAACCTGCAACTTTTTAAACCCCAACATGACACCAAAAGTCACCACATGATAGACTGTAGTCAAAACATAGGTGTGCTAAAATAAGGTATAAACTTAGACTATGTCTATAAGATGTATATTGAACAAGGGGATTTCCTGTTTAAACTTGGGTCTCATCCCAACCTAGCTCATTACACATACGAATATATTCCACAATCTGAAAAATTCCCAACACATTTGGAGAAGGGATCGTTAACTTGTAGAGGAGATACAAGGGTAGAAAGGATGGACAGTCACCTTCACACACCCACCAGAGAAAATCTCCATGGCTGTGGACTCACCGTGTACCCAATGATGGGACTCACAGGATGCCTTGGCATTGTCCACTGGATGCTGAAAGCTGTGCAGTTCAATGCGCTCAGCTTGATGTCAACGGGAGGCCCCACCTTGCCTGCCGCAAATAAAAGACATTGTGTTAGAGGCTCCATTCATCCCATCTTGTGTATATTTACGTAAGATTTCTGAATGTGGACTTACACATGGAGAGCCACATCTGTCTCGGGTGATCTTAGAGGGACTTGGCTGTTGCCTCCCAAGCTGTCATTGCTAGGGACATCAACCCGACTGACTTACAGCCCATTCTGTCAGTTGCAATAGTTAAGAGATCAGCAAAGCAAGACTGACAGTGGTCTAGACCAACCGACTTGTGACTTTAGGAATTTGGAACAGATTCAAGCAAGATGTTTACATTTTTTTAATTTATGACATATACTTTCTATATTTGTTCTACCCATGTCTCCTTAGTATCTTCTGAGCATGGAAATTATAAAAATATGAGTAAATATAAAAAGAAATTTAAAATTTTCAAATGTTTTACTACCTACTCAAACAATTTTGACCATAAAGTGTTTTATAATTGAAATTATAAAACAATATATATATTAACAAAATTTAGAAAATAGAAAAATATCATCTGTACTTTTATTATTCAGCATTTAGCATATCTCCTTTTAGTCATGTAATACTAAAACATAACAACAAAAAATGTGAACACGTATTTATATATGCACATGGTTTCTATTTTTATTGCTGCCTTTGTGATATAGCAATCATTATATATATGTATATGCTTATAATTTCAAGTCTTATTTCCTTTAATTTACTGTCATTAAGTCATTAATTTTAATAACAATGATGTTTAATCACAATAATGTTTCCATTTACTACCAACATGGTCACTTACTATTGTTAGGCAATTGGTTGCCCATATGTTGCAGTTTTGAGTTCTGTTCTATGAGGACAGGAACCAAGTCTACCCTTTCTAGCATGCAGAAACTAGTAAAGGATAAAAGTTTAACAAACACTTCTTAAGCAAATGAATGTTCTGAAGTTTGATTTTTCACTTACTACTATGTCCTGTTGCATGTTCCTTTGAACTGTTGCATGCAATTCCCGGTCATATCAACTAGGATACCTTGCAATGTACAAAGATCTAATGTATCTGTTTCTTGAACTGGGACCAACTTATTACTGCTGGGGTGATTCTCTAAGTTTTTTTCCTATTAAAATGTTATTACTTCAATTTATGTATTACATGGCATAGGCATGCCCTGGGAAGACAGCACTTTAGTGCATCGACTTAAATTTTAAGAATTCAGAAAAGCCAAGGAAAATACTCAACTAACCCCATGAATTATATTGTATTAGCTTGTTATTATATACATTTTCTGAAACATATTCAGATGTTGCTCCAATTTTTCTTGTTATTCTTTACTGAGTAATTAAATAGCTAACTGTCTCCCCAATGTTTTCAGTAACAGAACTCAAGGAAATTCTGGTAGACCAGCTAATAGCTCAATTCTGTCACTTAGAAAAAACTGTGAGGCCAGGAAGCAGCTACAACTACTTAACATTTTCTCCACTCAGTAGTTTAATCTTTGCCTTTTCCTTAGTTCATGATCTAAAATCTGATCTGAATGGCTGACCTCAGGCCTTGTGATTTCCCCTGGACACAACAAAGAGGCATGAGAGGAAGGATCTGTCAGTCCTTTCTGATGATGACAGGATGAGGGAAGTCTTGGGAATTGTTCTTATAATGAGCTTAGACCCAGAAAAGAAGACTTCCGAAAGAAGGTCAGGATCATAGAGAAGGGATAGTGAGAGGTTGTGTTAGGAAAGATCAAGTGGATGAAAGGAAAGTCAGGAGACAGAGACCTCAACAGAGGAGACCAGGCTTTCAGCAGAAGGCTCTGAAGAGGGTTTGGAGGGCCTGGATAGATGAGATAAGAGAAATTAATAAGTGAAATGGGGCAGAGCAAAGGGAGGGGTGGGAGCGAAGGGGAAAGAAAGCTTGGACATAGGGAACCTCTGGCCATTTGCCATTTCCCTGGAGAAAGTTCCAGTGGTAGATGCTGTCAAACGGCAAATAGCCTCTGATCTGGAGGTTTGGCTAAGGGTACAGTCAGGCAGGGAAGAGAGAAGGACCCAGTGGTCTTTATAACTGAGTTTACCAGTCAAATCAATATAGGTCTAGGTCAAGACCTAACCTCCCTTACTTGGCTATGAGGCAGGGAGAGCCAGAGGCTCTGGGTCACTTTCTGGCCACTGGTTAGCCAAAGTAAGATGGAGGGACAGACTAGTTCTCAGAAAGCTGCTGAAGAGAAAGGACAAATTGGGGAGAGGACGAAAGGAAAGGGAGGTGGACACAGTCCTCACAAGGACAGGACTCCTCTGGGAACTCCATCCTGGGTTTCAGCACCAGATGTTAGGAAAGATCAAGTGAGGAAAGGAAAGTAGGGACACAGAGACTTCAACCAATCAGATCAGGAATTGATTATCACTGGAGAGGGCACCAAGTAACTGGCAACAGAATGAGAGATAAAAGGGTGCAGAAAGTAGGGAGTCTGGGCTTTACATATAAAGAAGAAGCTGTTAGGTTGTGAAATGGGACTGCAGCCCCAGATAGCTCACCAGGGGCAATGTGCACTTCCCAGAAAGGGCTTGGGGTGAGGTTTTTCTAAGAACTTCCCCTGGGGGCTGGGGAGGGGGAGGAGATGTTAGTGGGCCATGCAGACAGAATTGGGTTATGAGAGCAATGCAGATTCCCATCAAAATGTCTGCAAAATACAGACCACGCATGCACCATGACTCACTGAGTGACAGTTCCTCTTAAAAAATTCACTGTTAAAAAAATGCAGAGAAGAACATCTGTATGTGCCTTCTTGCAAACATGAGTAGGTATTTCTAGGATGGATGCCTATGAATACATATGTGGCATATGTATGTTAATTTTGATTTACCATTTTATATTGCTCTCCCTGAAAGATTCAATGGACCAAAACTAAGCATATGCTGTTAGTTCATTTGGGTAAATTCTTTAAGCAGGATTTCTACATTGGAGATAACTTTTCAACCTTGGCATTATTGGTAGTTGGGGATTGGTTTGTTGTGTGGCCATCCTGCTGCATTGTAGAATACATAGCAGCACCCTGGTCTCCACGCGGTAACACAGCAATGGTGCTCCCCACCCAGTTGTGAAAACCAAGAAAATCCTGACATTGTCAAACATCACCAGGGAACACAACACCCCCCCACACCTGCTGAGAAGTACTTCTTTAAGAGAATGAATAGTTTTAAAACTTTTAACACATACAGTCATACTTACATCTTGAAAGCCAAACAAATGCATGCTGATATACTGAGAAAGCCCATATACATAAAATTGTATTATCAAGTATGAATATCACATCTTAAAATTTTTCTGCTCTGCAAAGGTTACTGTCAAGAGAATAAAGAGACAACCCAAGTCTCTCAAAGACTGGGAGAAAACCTTTGCAAATGATGTTTCCAATAGTCCAGATTGTATATGTGTATTCCCATCGAATTCATATGTTCAACCTAATTCCTACTGAGATGGCATTTGGGAGGTGGTTAAGTCACAAGAGCGTGGCCCTCGTGGTTAGGATTAGTGGCCTTATAAAAGGGACCCTTAGCATTAGTGGCCTTATAAAAGGGACCCAGCCGCTCCGTGTCCCCTTCTGTTATATGAAAACACCAGCAAGAAAGCCTTCACCAGACCCTGGCTCTGATTTGATCAGTGAGAAAATTTTTTATTCACAAGCCACATAATCTATAGTATTTCATTATAGTGATTGAAAAAACTAATATATCATAGAAGGGAAAGGAGGAGAGGGGAGGAAGAGTAAAAGAGAATTAGCTCTGTAATGAAGGTTCAGAAGCATCTGGCTTTACTGTCTCCACTGCTACCCACAACTACCTCAACATCCAAGCTAATGACAAATCCTGGAATGCTTCACTATGTGGATGACCTTGCTTGGCTGGATAATCAGCCTCTGCTTCCCCCCTGCCTTCTATATCTCCAAAGAGTACATGTAATTAGTGGAGTTTAATTTAGATCCAGAATACTGGTTGCAAGGGAGTCTGGGAGGTGTAGTTTTATTTTTCCAGATTTTGCATTACAGTAATGGCTCCTAGAAGGAAGGTAAAATGAATGTGTAATAAATCAATCTACACTACCCATGACATAATAAATTCCAATTTTCTATTTCTTTTTACCTTCATATTCTCCAGTAAAATATGCAAATCAAACTCTGCTGGGACTCCGTTAGGAGTCCTATTTTATTTTCCTTCTGATTCACTTATTTGCTTTTTCACTTACCTAACAAATATGAATTGAGCTCCTTATATGTACAAGGCACTGTGCCAGTCACTGAAACCACGTTAATTATAAAAGAGATATAAAGGCACAAACAAGTTAGTAGGATACAGCGCTTTGGTGTGAGGGGCATCAAGATTGGATAACGAGGGGCTTTTTCGTGGTTGGCATACTCATGCCAAGGATATATCTGGGTGTGTCTCAAACGGTATCAGGAGTAAGGCAGACTGAGGATGGGACAATGTACCTCAGCCTTGAGGGAATGGTACCTACTTTTTCCCAGAGTTGGGAAGAGGCAGGGGGAGAGGGGCGCAAGCCACAAACTCACAATGATCAGGGCCCAGTGGTTGAGTGGTGGGGAGGGACGGGAAGGAACCAAGATGCCTGAAACAATACAGAGGAGGGCTGTACACGACCAGTCAGCGGCAAGTTTAAAAAGGATACTTTACTACTCATAAAGTAGGAGTCTGCTCATCTGCACTAGCAATTAAAAGATGGTCAGATCAGACCTTTGGACCAAATACTAAAAAGACTCCAGATGGATATGGGAAATCTAATCTTCGATAAATAATTGAATTTTCAAATCTGATTTTTTTTTGAGGAGGAAACTTTCTAAGCTTAAAAGAGGTTATGAAATAAATCAAAAGAAAAGTAATGGATTCTAAATCATAAAACTTTCATTATGCACTTCAAAATTTACAAAAAGAAAATTCAAAATAACAGATGGAGGGGTGAATAATTACTGCAGAATGACAGGCCAAGGGATATCTTTATCA